CTAAATGGAAGGATGAGCGAATCAAATGTTATAGAAACGAAATTAATTGTCCCTAACCACAGTCCCCTTGTCGTCTCTCAATACCTGAAATTTATCGAGCTCACAATAAAGCCGTTTATCTACCTTCAGTGGAGAGGAATGTGTTTAACCCATGGGCATTGTTGGAGAAATGCCCAGTATGGCCTCCAGATACCCATTGTGGCCTCTAGGTACCCATTGTGGCCTCTAGGTACCCACTGTGGCCTCAGGATACACACTGTGGCCTCTAGGTACCCAGTGTGGCCTCTAGATAACAACTGTGGCCTCCAGATACCCACTGTGACCTCTAGATACCCAAGGTAGCCTCCAGATACCTACTGTGGCCTCTAGATACCCATTGTGGCCTCCAGATACCCATTGTATCAGATACCCACTGTGGCCTCAGGATACACACTGTGGCCTCTAGGTACCCATTGTGGCCTCTAGATACCCACTGTGGCCTCTAGGTACCCATTGTGGCCTCTAGATACCCACTGTGGCCTCCTTCTGATACTCACTTTGTCCTAATACCTGACACCTACTGGGCCTTCTTCATATCCATTATGGCCTCCTGATACCACCTGTTCCTTAATACCTGATACCACCTGTTCCTTAATACCTGATACCCATTGTGCCCACCTGTCTTTATACCTCATACCACTCTAGATACTTAGGAGAGGGGAGGGGTAGGAGGGGAGGAGAGGGGTAGGAGGGGGGAGAGGGGTAGGAAGGGAGAGAGGAGAGGGGGGGTAGGGACAAAGGAGACAAGGAAGGGAGGAGGGTAGGAAGGAGGGGGGAAGGAAGGGTGAAGAAGGAGGAGGAGAGGGGGAGGAGGAGGAAGAAGGAAGGAGGGAAGAAGATGGAGTGGGGGGAGGAGGAAGAGCACAGTAATGCTATGTAATGCTATGCTATAAACCAGACTCGATAACAACACCTTAAGCACAGCAATGGAATTAAATGATCAGTCAGAACCAGGTGATTGATTTAAATTGCCACTGGTACAGGTAACACTCATGATGAGATACAGGTAAATACAGGTAAATACAGGTGCCTACAGGTAAATATTAGGACCTAAATCTACTATGTTTATTGCTAAGTATGAATCATTTGACGTATACTGTACATGAATCACCTGTTGAGTACCTGTAGTCATTTGGCTCAATTATCAAGTAGGGTCTAACTTACCTTCAAGGCTTTTGTTAAATTCACCCCTCAAACTTCGTAAGAGTCTATTTTATTTTTTTGCTTTGACATTATTCACTTCAATTAAATCAATCAAATATGAAAAACACAACACCTGACTTTGCAGATGAGGAAGTGAAAGTGGTCAAGTACAGTATCGGAACCCTTGACCCCTTGTATACTAGAACAAAGATTTAATACTTAGTGGAACACACATTAGCCTCTGTAAATATAATGTTTAACCCCTTGAGTACGATGCCAAACCTCTTGAGAACGATGGCAATCCCTTGAGGACGATGCCAAACCCCTTGAGTACGATGCCTACCCCTTGAGTACGATGCCTACCCCTGAGTACGATGACAGTGTCGTAAGGGACGGGATGGGGGAGGGGGGGGGGTAAGTCCTAAGAGTCTCAAGTCTCACTCATACTAAAACTTGAACACTTAAAACATCAAGAACCACTTCCATTATCTCAAGTGCTTCAATTCATGATCACCTGAAGATACTACATTAATTTGTGTACAGCAGGTGTTTCAAGGTAATTAGTGGGAAAAGGTATTACTTTATTACATTCTGTGCACCAGGTGTTTCAAGGTAATTTGTGTGAGAAGGTAGCACATTATTACATTCTGTGCACCAGGTATTCCATGCTAATTAGAGGTGAAAGGTAACACGTAACAATATGGTAAAGATAATGAGACAAAGGTTATATTGTTGTCTCTTATAGTAAACAATCATAAAATCCTATCCTCTAATTTTGTCCTCAATGACGCTATTTTGCTGTGATCTGTCAACTCCAAGTTCACCTGACATAAACGTTTCACTCCCATCAAACGATAAGATCTGACACGAACATTTACAGTGTGTTCAGTATGTTCAGCAAGTTATTCAATATATCTTTATGGTGTAAAAGTGGGGATTTTTTTTTCCGTGTTCAAAGTGACATTATTATCATTTGTTTACTAAAAATTTTCTCCCCGGTGGTGCTTCTGGTGGCAACAGTGTTATAGATTAAATTATCATAGGAATCGTGTTATGCTCCGTGAAATAATAGGTTGAAGTTGCAGTGTTGTGATATTATTAATGTCAGTTATGCAAAGAAAGAAAGAGAGAAAGAAAGAAAGACAGAGAGAAAGAATGAGAAAATTGCAAGGGAGCCAGAACAAATCCCTGCGGCATCCTACTGCCTTTTATAGATGCTTCACCGCCTGATTCACCGAGTCCACCCCTCGGTATCTTTTATATTTTTAAGTTGACAATCCACCCTTTTAATATTCCCAATTATAATCTAATGAAGTTACCCATGGAGACTGTCTCATGTCACCGTTTTCTTTAATTTTTGAAATACCCTATGGTTTTTTTTAAATTTGAGTTTGTGATGCTCAATTTTTGCACACACACACACACACACACACACACACACACACACACACACACACACACACACACACACAAAACAGACTAACAAAATGCAAGTCTCAAATGATCGACAAATTGTTATGACTCTCTGGCCCAACAAATAGATTGGTGATCTAAATTCAATTCATACTACCAGCTGAATATGGTGCAATGGTGATGCTGCTTATTCAACATCCTGCATCTTATCACCTTGCCAGCTCAGTAGTGGTGTAATGTAGATTGTGACTTACCAGATGGTCTTCAGGGAGTAACATCAATACAAAACCTTTTTATACCGTAAAGTAAAATAGAAAATACATAAGTCAAAAAAGTATCTGTACCATTTTGTGTGTGAGACAATATGACACAATGGACGAAGGATTTTGACAACCCTACCGAGACAACAGGAGTCATAGTGTTCATTTTGGAATTTATTGGATCTCATGGGTAAAGATACTTTCTTGTGTGTGTGTGTGAGTGAGTGCATACTCTTTTTAAGGTTTTATAGGCGTGTATCTGACAACAGCTCTATACACCACAGAGATAATGCTATCTTAAATCTAAACTCTGATACTCCCACCACAATACCAGCTGATCGTATCTTACCTGTCCAAATAAATTAAACCCCCCCCCCCTTTTAGTGAACTTCCTTTAGTGAACCGCCTTAGTGAACCCCTTATAGAACCCCTTTATATACACACACCACCATCATCCAGCCTTCGTCCACTTGACAGAGTTATAGGAATATACAAAGTGAACCTCACTTCATTATTCTCAAAATGTTTTATTCAATCACTTGAGAATATGATTATATAAAAAAAAATTGCACCAGGTAATGTTCTAATGCTCACTCTGGCCAGAAATGGAAGGTGATGTGGCCTTGGGAACAGAGGGGATGATTTTGGTTAGTGGATTATCCAAGCAACGTGAGTATTAGCTAACCTGGCGTACCTTGGGGCAAGTATCCCTTAGTGTTTTACCTGTGTGTGTGTGTGTGTGTGTGTGTGTGTGTGTGTGTGTGTGTGTGTGTCAGTTCAGAATCACACACCACGAACACAAATTTAAATGAACACAATAGCATTATTTAGTGTTAATAAAAAATTTAAATACCTTCACTAATAAACTAATAAAACAAAATTAATCACCACCCGAACAGAGAAACAGACAAACACCAATTTTACAAAACATATTACCATAACACAAAAAACACCGTCACCATCAAAACACACACACACACACACACACACACACACACACACACACACACACACTAACACACAACCTTCCCTCCATTCTTTTCATAACAATTTGTCAATATTTATATGTGTGTGTGTACTGTGTGCATGTGTTTGTGTGTGTGTACTGTATGTGTATGTGTGTGTATGTGTACTGTATATGTGTGTGTATGTGTGTATGTGTTTTTTTTTATAGATATCTAGTATAAATCCGGTGATAGGATTAGTGTTAGGGGAAGCGTTATCTCAGTATTTGCCAACACTACCGTGACAATGAAAGCTCCCATAAATGTTTGAAACTTGGAAAAACCTTTGTGGGAGGAAAAAGTTTGTGCGTTTTTTCATTTTTTTGTGATTTCGTGTTTTTTTTTTTTTTTTTAGGAAATTTGGAATTGTTTTTGTTATGCTGATAATGATAATATTAAAACTAGCAACAATAATAATAATAATAATAATAATAATAATAATAATAATAAAATAATAATAATAATAACAGCAAAAACAAAAAAAATAATAATAATAATTTAATCTTTCCTCCTATTTAATCATTATATTTCTATTTCTTATTCCTCTTCCTGTTTCCATCCTTTTCTCCCCTTTCTACCTCTCTCTCCCCTCCCCTCCTTTCCCCTTTCACTACTCTCCCTCCCCTCCCCTGCTACTCTTTCTCCCCTCCCCTCTCTCCCTTCTTCGTCTTTTCTTCCTCACCCTTTCCTCATTCTCCTCCCCTCCTATGTCACTCCTCCCACTTCATTATCTCTCCTCTTCCATCTCCTCCTCCTTCTCCTCTTACGCATGTCCCTCCTTTCATTCCCTTACCTCTCATCCCCTCTCTCTGCTCCTCCATCTTCCTCTCCTACCCCCCCTCTCACCTCCTTTACCATGTCTTTCTCCCTCTCCCTTTCTCCCTCCCTCCTCTCCTTTAACCCTTACTCATCCACCCTCCCCCTCTCACCTCCCTCCCTCCTCCCTCCATCGTCGCCCACCTTTTCTCCATCTCTCCAACATGGCCCTTCAGCCTGTCATAAATGAAGTAGGTGCCATTATGAGCCATTAGCGCCACAATGGTTGGCTGTGGCTCGCTACTGGTGCCAGGTCAGGGAAGCAGTACATGTATCTTACAGGTATACGAAAAGAGAAACATTAATACCTACCTTTATATTAGTT